AATAGCAATACCCATAGTAAGTAATACAGCAGCTAGAAGGAGTGTATGTGAGACTATTGCAGTGGTCCAAAGAAAGAGACGAGACAGAAATAAGGATAATGACAATGAAGATGGAGAGGAGCAGACAAAACTCATGAGCTGTCTAGAAGAAAAGCCACTGGAGTTTTGTACTTGAATGGTACAGGCTAAATAGGAGGGAGGTTTTGACTAGGTCATTTGTTAGATGATGGTGTTCTTAGTAGAATAGTAAATAAGTGAGTGAGAAAAGATGGAGAGTTCTCCATTCCACATGAGCTGGATCTGAGACCAGTAGGAAGTCTGTAGTTTAGTGGAAAGATCTAGACTGGAACTATGGATCTGAGAGTCTTCACTCACTTACCTGTTTGTGTGTATCTGTCATCTCCAGGGTTCCATCATTATATGCCCTCTGTCTCTCCCTGTCTCTCTTTCTCTCTACTGTTCCCTTTTTACTGTTTTATTTATTATTTTTTAGTTATTTCATCCATCATCTATAGACAACATATAGATGTAGACAGTATGTGATACTATCTAAACATGTGGACTTTGTAGACAGTACCTGAAATTATGTAGGATGAATCTATAAAATAATTTAAAAAAAAAAGATGGAGAGAGAACACACAGTAATGAAACCCTAAGAATATGGATTGATACACACACATATACATACACACACAAGGATACATACACATTCATACCTGTATGAAGTAGGAGAATTCACAGACAAGATGTAGAAAATAGGCAGGAGATCGACAAAAGAGTAATGCCTCAAAATTTGAGGGAGGAGAGATTAAATGAAAGTGACCAGCATGTTAGATGTCATAGACTGTCTAGTAATGGTAAAAACTGAATAAAAGAGCTTGCCATTGTGTGTGTGTGTGTGTGTGTTACATGTGTGTTTTGAGTCAGAATCTCACTCTGTCTTCCAGGCTGGAGTGCAGTCATATGATCACAGCTACCACAGCCTCAACTTCCTGGGCTCAGGTGTTCCTTCCTCCTCAGCTTCCAAGTAGCTGGAACTACAGGCACATGCCACCACACCCAGCAAATTTTTGGATCTATTGGAGAGACGAGGTCTCGCCAAGTTGCTCAGGCTGCTCAAACTCCTGGGCTTCAGGCAATCCTTCCGCCTCAGCCTCCCAAAGTGCTAGGATTTCAGGTGTGAGCCACCATGCCTGGCCTCCATTGGGTTTTAATATTGTTATTGGGTATTGTTAGTGATTAGAGCAGTTTTATCAAGGGATGAGGACTAAAGCTAGGCTGCAGTAGTTGAGGAACAAATGGGAAGTACAAGAGGAGAAATAACGTGTGTAAGCTATGGAATTTAGCTTATCCCTTGAAAAATAGAGGACAGTTAAAAGTTTTTGAGTTAAGGAATTAACATGATTGAGAGTGTTTTTTAATGGAAATCTGGTGCCAGCATACACAATGGATTATCATAGGGTCAAAATGGCAATGTAGAGATCAGTTTCTAAGGTAAAAGTAGGAAGTGAAAAGGAAAAAATTACAAGAGGAAGATTATACAGCCAAAAAATAAAAGGAATTTTTTTGTGTGTCCGGATGTCATTCTGTCACCCAGGCTGTGTCATGTGATCACTGCTCTTGGCAGTCTTGACCTGAGCTCAGATGATCTTTCCACTTCAGTCTTCTGAGTAACTGGAACTACGGGCATATGCCACCATGCTCTGCTAATTTTTAAATTTTTGTAGAGATGAGGTATCACTATGTTGCCCAGGCTGCTCTTGAACTCCTGGGCTCAAGCGATCCTCCTGCCTTGGCCTCCCAAAGTGCTGGGATTACAGGCATGAGTCTCTGCACCCAGCCAAAAAAAAAATTCTTATTGTTCCTTGACAGGCAGCAATGCTCAGGAGCCATAAGAGGTTTTTTAGACCAGTGGCAGGTATGTTTTTGGGACAGAGATGATGATCAACCTTTGAATTAAGTTTTATCTGAATATAGAACATTTGTGTAGATGTGACCAGCAGTCTAAAACTAGAGCTTCTGAGAATGGTAATACTTGGTATTACAGTGTGGGCCAGGTGCAGTGGCTCGTACCTGTAATCCCAGCTACTTAGAAGGAGTTTGAGACCAGCCTGGACAACACAGCAAGATCCTATCTCACCTATCACCAAAACCAAAAGCAAAATGATCAATATGGTTTCTTACATAGAACTAAAAATCATTAAAATTTACATGATCATAAAATCATAATGTACATGATCATAAAAATAGCCAGATAATTAGAGTACCTTGTTTGAGCAGAGATTCTTAATTTGGGGTATGTGGAAGCTTCTGAGAGGTTTGAAATTAAATATAAAACTTTGTGGAAAAAATACACACATTTTATATATGTGTCTGCACACACACACACACACACACACACAAACAAATATTTACAGAGAGTCTGACTCAGAGGTTAAGAGAGTGAAACAGGTGGCTGATCAGGTTGGCAAGAATAATCACCAAGATCAGAGAACCAAGATAAAACTAGGATTGAAAACTACAGAAAGTAACAGAAGGAAAGCTCATGGGAATATAAAACCAGACATTTAAAAACCTAAAAAGGTATAGCTCCTGTTTTGTTTTTGTTTTTGTTTTTTTATACCATCTTCAGACCCTACGTAATTTGCAGGGAATTACTTGCTTATTATGATGACCCAAGAACTAAGAATTATGTTCTGTAGACTCTGTCAGTGGCAAAAAAAAGTACGTAGTATGTTTGGAATGATTTTAACTCAGAAGGCTAAAATAATATGGTTTTTTGTTTTGTTTTTTTGAGGCAGAGTCTCACTCTGTTACCCAGCCTCGACCTGCTGGGCTTAGACAATCCTTATGCTTCAGCCTTCCAAGTAGCTGGATCTATAGGCATGTGCCATCACGCCCAGCTAATTTTTTTGATTTATTGTTGAGACAAGGTCTCTTGCCATGTTGCCTAGGCTGGTCTGAAACCCGAGGGCTCAGGCAATCCTCTTGCCTCCGCCTCCCAAAGTGCTGGGATTACAGATGTTAACCACCTTGCCCAGCTAATATGTTTTGATGTATTATCCAGAATGACTTTTTGTCAAAATATTTCAGCTCATTGTAAATTTTAATAATAAAACTTTGTTCCCAGCTTTACTTGATTGGGTAGGGGTTTTTTTGTTTGTTTGTTTGTTTTTGGTATTATTTAATTGGATATTGAGTTTATAGCAGTCAAGGATTTCATTCTCGTATGGGCTGAGTTTAGCTTTTTCTTGGGAATCTTCAGACTTGCCAAACAAACACGAACTACAGTTGCCAAGGCTTTAGACTGAGGGCAAAAATTTCTAATAGTACGCATAAAATAACTGTGGTCTATTAGATCAATTATGGTACCTCCAGTTTGGATGTGGTCATTCCAAATGGGTGTTTTTCTCCTATTTGATAAGGTAAGTATTTGCTAAGGTGATATACCCGTTGCAGATACTTTTTCAATAGTATCAAAATTACAAGGAGAAATGCATACTGGATTTAATTAAAAAGTCTCTATTTGCATATCTTTTTGGGTAACTGGGGCAAGAGAGTATTTAATTAAGCATTTAGTTATTTTTGAATTTGACATCTAGCTTGTTCTCAAATATATTAAAGAATAAAAATGACCATGCTACTCGTCATGAGCATTACCCCTGGTAGTTCAGTAGGAGATTATTCTTTCTGACTTTGTTTTGAAATTGTGAGTTGCCATTTTTCCCTTACCACACAAATGAAAAGTGAAGTGATAGACAATTTATTTTAGGAAGTCTTTTATAGTGATGAATTAGGTATCTTTTTGGTTTTTATACAAAAGCTTTGCAAACTGGCTTAAAAAGGGTTTCTTGGCCAGGCTTGGTGGCTCAGCTTTAATTTCAGCACTTTGGGAGGCCGAGGCGAGTGGATTGCCTGAGGCTGTGGGCTTGAGACCAGCCTGGGCAACTTGGCGAGACCTTGTCTACAATAAAATAAAAAATAACTGGGCGTGGTAGTACGCGTCTGTAGTTCCAGCTACTAGGAAGGCTGAGGCAGAAGGATTGCTAGAGCCCAGAAGGTTGACATTGTGGTGGCCATGAGCATGCACGCCACTGTCTGGGTGAAGAAATGAGACTCCAACTCAAAAAAAAAAGGATTTCTTAAGTGTCTACATTGGTATTCATGTTATAAAGCAGGAAAGAAAATGGGAAGATTTCATGTTTTTATGGTTAATTTATTTGTATAGCACCTGATTTTTCTCTGCTTCCAGCAATCATTTCCATGTATATCTTTTAAATAAATCTACATTTCTAAGGGCACATACGATTTTGATCTATTGGGATATTATTAGGGTGGTTCGTGTTAATATTTTTATTTTCATCTGATTAAAATAGAATTTTCAGTAAGTATTTACTTGTCTTCTGTAGTCTATAACAGTGCCATCCAGTAGTAACGTAATGTGAGTCACTTATGCAATTTAAAATTTTCTAGTAACCACATTAAGAGGAGTAAAAATGAATATTTTTTGTTTACCATAGTATATTTAGAATATTATTTTAACATGTAATCAATCTAAAAATTACTGCGATATTTTACCTCTTTATTTCATATTAAGTCTCTGAAATCCAGTTTGTACTTTATACTTATGACCTGTTTAATCTAGATCAGTCATATTTCAAGTGCCTTATTGTACAGTACAGGTCCGTAAAGTCAGAAGAAATTCTTCTTATCTGGATGGATGGACAAATAAAAGGGGATATTTATTTTAAATGAATTGGATCTGTCCAGGGTAACAGCTAGTTACCAAAACCTAAAAATGTAATCATCTTTATAGATATCAAAGTTAGGCTTTTTTATTCACTGGAAAATTTATTGGTGGAGACATGGGTATCTTGGGTAGATGGAACTTTTACTATGTAGTTACCCTTAATATAACTGTAATGGTATTTTTTTTTTTTTACTGTATATGCATGTTTATACTTCCATGAGATTTCAGTATATATGTCTGTAACCTTTAGCATAAATGCGGTTCCAACTACAATGAAGATTTTGTGCTACAGCTAGAGAAGGAATTGGTTCAAGCCCGACTGAGTGAAGCCGAGTCTCAGTGTGCACTTAAGGAGATGCAGGATAAAGTCCTGGATATCGAGAAGGTAAGAAACTACATGCGAGGAGGCCCCCCCAAAAAACCAGAGTTATCTTTTGGGAGGGCAGGTCCCTTGTAGTACACTCAAAATTTGTTCCTCTGGATTAAACAGTCAACCAAAGTTTTTATCTGGAAGTTTTGAGAAGATTGCATCACGATTTGTGGAAGAAACTCCCGACTTGTGGTGAACAGGTGACTGGTTCTTCTACCATGACAACACACTTGCCTACACTGCCACTGGCCTGAGCATTCAGCAGTTTTGACCAAAGATGGCATGACCCCCATACCCCATCTTCCCTATTCACTGAATCTTGCCCTGAGCGACATTTGTTTGTATTCCTGGATGAAAAAAGTCCTCAAAGGGAAATGTTTTGCTGATGTGGAAGAGGTGAAACACAAAACGGCAGAAGCCTTAAAAGGCATCAAAATTGGCAAGTTACAAAACTGTTTTGAGCAGTGGAGAAAGCATCTTGATAGGAGTATTACATCCAACAGAGAGTACTTTGAAGGTGACTGAAGTTTAAACATGTAACAATAAATACACAATTTTTTGTAAATTCCATTTTTTGAGATTCCTCCTCATAAATGTTGTCACTACCAAATTAAAGGGTAGATGTGATAGATATTCATTAAGTCCTTTTTGAGCAATTAAATTGTATTTGGTGGTTTTACACTTTAGAAACCTTAGTTTCTAGTATTAATTACTATTAAAGAAAAGGAAAAAAATATTTTTAAGATTGCTGTTTAATCTCCATTTGATGCCATATTTAGGCATCAAAATGGAGATTTAAGTCCTTTTGCAGGAAAGCAACCAGGATAATTTTCATAAGAAAGAATATTTAAATGCTGCAGAAAAGGAAGTTAGGGGACAGAAATTAACCGTTGTCTTCAACTATTGTCATATTTTCATGTGAAAGAGGTGGAATAGGTCTAATGTGTAGACATTCCATGGAAATCTCTGAGTGTAATGGTTAGACCTGTCTGAGCTACAGCAAGTCACCTAAGGAAAGTATGGGGTGCAGTTCAGAGTCAGATCTACAAATGGTCATCATGCAGGTGCCCTTGTTGATAAGGTGTGTCTGCCTGCCTCCCAACCCCCCTGGCAGTTTCCCACTATTGCCAATCCCTTTCTTCCGGTATTATGATAATTGCTCTAACTTCCCTCTCTTCAAGGATATTAAAGAATATCAAGTATTAGATAAGTTGTGGGAATAAAAAATATTTTTAGATGTCTTATAACTTTCAGATTTGGGAGTCTGAGTTTTAGAATACAAACTCTGAATCTCTTGTTTCCTCATTTATAAGATTAATGATAACCTGTTGTTTGTTCCTTTTTATCCCTGTTATCTAGCTATTGAATTCAATAGGCTCATAGCTTTTTTTAAAAAGTCTCATAAATAATGGACATAAGAGTCTCATTTGTTCTTAACAATTTTCTTAATGAAATAGGATAGGTATAACTAGAATCAGTAGTGTGATAATTTTGCGAGACATCTGCTTGCTTTTTTTTTTTTTCTTAAGTTGGAGTCTCACTCTGTTGCCCAGGCTGGAGTGCAGTGGCATGCTCATAACCACCACAGCCTCAACCTTCTGGACTCTGGCAATCCTTCCGCCTCAACCTTTCAAGTAGCTGGAACTACAAGTGCATGCTACCACACCTTGCTTCTTATTTATTTATTTATTTATTTTTGATTTATTGTAGGTCTCACCAAGTTGCCTCCAGGCTGTTCTTGAACCCCTGAGCTCAGGCAGTCCTCTCGCCTTGGCCTCCCAAAGAGCTGGGATTACAGGCTTGAGCCACCACGCCTGGCCATACTTACTGTTTTTATATTATTTCTGGAAAGTGTATTATCTAATTTGTTGAGGAAAAAAGCCAGCAAGAATGCTGAAAGAAATATCTAACAGAATATTGAGTCTCTAATGTAGAAGTATTTTGGACTCTGTGATTTAGATAAGAATCTGGGTCTTATAGTTTTAGAAAGATTCGGATATTTGGTAGAAAGGAGTGTATTTAGGTTTGGTTTAAAAATTAATTTCTTAAGTGGTTATTGGAATTCATGTTCTAGAGTAGGAAGGAAATTGGAAGGTTGCATGCTCCCTATGGTTAATTTCTTGATTTAGCATCCTCGTTTTCTTGTTTGCAACAATTAAAAAACAATTTTTAAAAAAATTTTAAAGATGTGGGATACAATTCATATTCTCAGCAATCTTTTTAATGGATATGCAGTAAATTGATGGTTTTCCATTGAGAGTAGAGTTCATCATGAGAATGTATTATGGGTGAGAATAACTTTATTCCACCATTTCTGTGAGGTGGAAGCTGCATGTCCACCATGAAATGTTTGAGAGACAGAAAATTTTATAAATCAGCCCTTAAAGACTTGATAGTACCTCAGTTTACCTAAGGACCTTTCCCCAGGGCCTAATTTTGAATCCTTGGGAACTCTCCAGATCAGCCTCAGTACTGGTCTGCCCTATATCTTAGGTGGATCTTTTAGTATGGTAGGAGCTTGGTCTAAATCTTGTATCTTTAAAGCAAATGTCTAGATCACCTTCGTATTTTCTGATTGTTGATGTAAGTAGTGACTAATACCCAGGGACTCGACCTCCCTTTTCAAGATGACATGCTGAGAAAATACAACAAAAACAGATTTGAGACTGTTATTTTCTGTGAATCTTTAAAATGTAAATGATGTTCAGACTTTATTTGGAGTCCTGATCAGAGGTTAGTAAATTTATTGCCAAGTTGAAAAACATTTTTAATCCTGTTGTTCCATAACTCTGACTAGTATTTTATTAATATATCAGAGTTAGAGTTTCTTTTTTTTGAGTTGGTGTCTTATCCTGTTGCCCAGGCTGGAGTACAGTGGCATGCTCACGGCTACCCCAGTGGCGACCTGTGGGCTCAGGTGATCCTTCCGCCTCAGCCTTCCAAGTAACTGAAACTATAGACATGTGCTACCACACCCAGCTAATTTTTTGATTTGCTGTAGAAATGAGGTCTCACCAAGTTGCCCAGGCTGTTCTCGAACCCGTGTGCTCAGGCAGTCCCCTCACCTCGGCCTCCCAAAGTGCTGTGATTACAGGCTTGAGCCACTGCACCTAGCCCAGAGTTAGACTTTCTATGTCATCAAAATGAAGTACAGTTACCCTCATACATTGCTGGTGGGAATGTAAAGCAATGCAGCTGCTTTGGAAAAGTTTGGTGGTTTCTTAAAAATTAAATCATCAATGTATTACCTTCTGAGCCAGAAGTTCTACTTCTAAGTATACACCTAAGAGTATCGAAAGTGTAAGTCTACACAAAAACTTTTACCCCAGTGTTCATAGCAGCTTATTCATAAAGACAAAAAAGTGGAAACAACTCAAATTTCTATTAACTGATAAATGAATAAAATGTGGAAGTATATATATATATATATATATATATATATATATATATATATATATATATAATGGAATATTATTTGGCACAAATATGGAATGAACCTTGAAAACATTGTGCTAAGTGAAGTAAGGTAGTCCCAAAACACTACAAATATGTTTGATTCCATTTATCTGAAATATCCAGAACAGGCAAATTCAGAGGGACAGATGCAGATTAGTGGTCGCCAGGGCTGGGGAACAGGGGAATGTAGACTGACCACTGATGGGATTGGGTTTCTTTTTGTCTTTTTTTTCATATGATTTTATTTTCTTCCTTCAACTATAATAATATGATATCCAAATTTCGTCATGACCGGAGGATCTGTAAACACAGTCATATCCATCCCACTTACAGGCAAGGCAAATGCTGCTTCTTGAAATGGTCCCATCATGGACCCTCTGGTCATCCAACCCAAGTTGCCCCCTCTCCTGGCTTTATCTTCACTATTTCGTGCAACCACTTCACTGAATCTCATTCCAGACTTTAACTTTTCCATGGCTTCCATGATTTTCATGTTTTTTTGCAAAGTGTGTGTCTGATCTTTGCTGCGTTGCCACCACCTGTGAGACTCCAAGCTTTCTTGTCAGCACTGTCACCTTTAGTGGCTGCTGCCCCTTTCCGCTCTTTTCCAGAGCCACTTTTTCCTTTGGGCAGCATCTTTGAAACTTCCCATTGAACTCTCAACTGCTCAGGCTGCCAAACTGGGAATAAGTTTCTTTTTCAGGTGATAAAAATATTCTGAAATTAGATCATTGTAACAGTTTAACAACCCTGTGAGTACTTTAAAAACCACTGACTTGTATATTTTTTAATGGTGAGTTTTATGGTTTGTGAATTATGTTTTAATAAAGCTGTATAAAATTAAGTATTTATGAATGGGACAAAATGGCTCTTATATGTGCTATTTTTTTAAAAATTCCTTAAATTAAAAAAATCCTAAACTAAGCTTTTTCTTTCTTTAGAGGAATAACTCCCTTCCTGACGAGAATAACGTTGCAAGGCTCCAGGAAGAACTTATTGCTGTGAAATTGAGAGAGGCAGAAGCTATTATGGGTTTGAAAGAACTTAGACAGCAAGTCAAGGATTTAGAAGAACACTGGCAGGTATATCAATATATTTTGTATGCTTTTTAAAAGGAGAGTGACACCCAGATATCCAATTTGTAAGAGCTTGAAGTAGTTGATGACCAACAGTAGGAGATGAATTTAAAATGAGAAAAACCCTGTTTCATGTCAACATTGAATGCACTTATAAATAGAAAGTGCATTTAAACTTTCTTCCTTTTCAATTCTTACAATGAAATAAAAGAAAAATTAGAAATCTGGCCAGGTATGGTGGCTCACATCTGTAATCCCAGCACTTTGGGAGGCCAAGGCAGGAGAGTTGCTTGAGCCCAGGAGTTTGAGACCAGTCTGGCTAACATAGTGAGACCATATCACTACAAAAAAAAAAAAAAAATTAGCCAGATGTGGTGACAAGCACCTGACATACACCTCCCAACTACTCAAGAGGCTAAGGCAGAAGGATCACCTGAGCCCAGGAGGCTGAGACTGCAGCAAGCCATGATTGTGCCACTGTACTCCAGCCTGGGTGACAGAGTAAGACTCCATCTCAGAAAAAAATAATTAGGGTGAAAATTATATTTTTTGCAATAATTTATCCATGGTACATAGAGGAAAAAAATATCTGAACTGTATTTGAGTTTATATCCTAAGTCTGCCACTTATTGACTGTGTGACCCTCCTGAAGTTACTTAATCACAGTGTTTATTTCTTACCTGTAAAATGAAGACAACAGTGCCTAACTTTTAAGATTTTCTGGGGATTAAATAAAATATTATGTGGAAAGTGCTTAATATAATACCAGACCTGAAATAAGTGCTCAGTAAAGTTAGCGTTTATATTGATTATTGAGTGTATTTGTTGCAATATAATTTTTTATACTCCAGCGCCACTTAGCTCGTACTACTGGGAGATGGAAAGACCCACCTAAGAAAAATGCTATGAATGAATTACAAGATGAACTGATGACCATTCGACTTAGAGAAGCTGAAACACAGGCAGAAATAAGAGAAATAAAACAAAGGATGATGGAAATGGAAACACAGGTATGATGGGGAAAGCCTTGTAGCTTAAAAAGTATCATTAGCAGGTCAAAGGTTTATGCACAGATTATATGATCCCTAGAATAGAAGTAAAAGGTGATAATATGAAATTGGATAGACTGCAATTTTCTAGCCCCAGTGAAGAGAGCTAAGAATTTTTTTTCTTTGGCTGGGTGCAGTGGCCTGTAATTCCAGCATGTTTGGAGGCCGAGGGAGGAGGACCACTTGTGCCTAGGAGTTCAAGATCAGCCTAGGCAACATAGCAAGACTTCATATCTATAAGAAATAATAATAATAATAATAATAATAGTTAGCTGGGGTTGTGGTGCACACCTGTAGGCCCAGCTACTCAGGCGGCTGAGGTGGAAGGATCGCCTGAGCCCAGGAGGTTGAGGCTCTGTGAGCTGTGATGGTGGCGCTGCACTCCAGCCTGGGTGAGAGAGTGAGACCCTGATTAAAAAAAAAAGAATTGTTTTCTTTGATTTCAGAGTTTTTTTGTTTGTTTTTTTGAGACTTTGTTGCCCAGGATGGGAGTGCAGTGGCACGATCCCAGCTAACCACAGCTTTAAACTCCTGGGCAACCTGAGTAGCTGGGACTACAGGCGCATACCACCATGCCCACAGATGTCAACTATAACACCCAGCTAATTTTAAAAAATTTTTTATGGAGACAATGTCTCGCTATGTTGCCTGGGCTGATCTTGAACTGCTGGACTCAAGTAATCCTCCTGCCTCAGCCTCCCAAAGTGCTGGAATTACAGGCATAAGCCACAGTGTCCAGCCTGATTTCAGAGATTTACTCTCTTCTTTGACCCATTCAGCAAAGCTCAAGCAAGTCAAACTCCAATTGACTACATTAGGTAAAACTCAGGGTTGCACTATGTTGAGCAAAAGTGTCAACCTCCATACTTTTAACATTTTGAGCTAAAAGTTTATTTGTTTTATGGTGCTGTCCTGTAAATTGTAGGATGTTTAGCAGCATCTTTGGCCTCTCCTCACTAGATGCCAATAATGCTTTTCCTACCCTAAGTTGTGATCAGAAATGTCTCCTGTGGGGCAAAATTGCTCCATTGAGAACCACAGGCGTAGACTATAATGTGAATGATGTTGCCCTAAGTCCTGTAATGTGGTGACCCTGAGTAGTCATTTCTAAAATTTGTCCTTCTTCTCAGGGCTCCTCTTTCTCTAGTGGATTTTGTCTAAAATATACTTGACCTAAAATTGGCACAGGCCTTTTTATGAAACCCATTTACACTATAAAAGTGCATTTGTTTTCTGTGTGGTACAGTTGTGTGTACATAGTCCTATGCTCCCGAATGTTATTTGGTTTTCAAAATACATATTCAGTCAGTAGGGGGCATAGTTAACTCATGTATCATTTTGTATTTCAATGTGCAGAATGGTCGTAAACTTGAATATAACAGGAATATGTAAAATTTTTAGAATAATACTTTTGTTTTACACTGTTCAGAGTTATTGTCTTGTATTTTTCGGTGTGATTAAAAATAGGCAGAGGTGCTGTAAGACTATGAAGAATAGAAATCTGGTTTTATAATTGGAAGTTTTATTTTTTGAATCAGATTTTATCTTAGTATAGATATTAAAGATGCAAATGAAGCTTTTAAGCCAGCATTGAGGATTCCTTTCACTGTGGGTGGAAGTGAATAAATCAAATTCAACAAACATGGTTTTGAGAAGTTGTGAAACACAAAGCACTGTCCCGGCCGTCAAAGGACTTAAACTTGAGAAATTAGGTCTGCACAGACTATATTTAACATGATTTAGAAATATGGTGGAGAGTTAGATTAAAATGTCTATAGAGACTAGGAGGGGAAAATTAATGTCAACTAAGTGGTTTGGGGAAGACTTCCTAAGGAGTTTGTATTTTGAACTGTGCCTGACAAGTGTGATTTTGGATGAATTTTGCTGGAATGGGGATGGTGTAAGGCACTGCCAGTACTTGGATTGGTGATGATCTATAAAGTTTTCTCATTGAAAAATTAGAAATATAAATTAAAACAGTATGGTAAAATAGTGTTGGCATATAGCTCATCTAAGGAATAGAAAATCAAATATCAATGTAGCTACCATCCAGATTGAAAGCTTTGTCTATGTTTATACATCTAGCTCCATCTTTCATTTAGAAGAGTCTGTGTAATGAGTATACCTCAGTTTATCAAGCCACTTTTCTTTTGCTGTGTACAGATTTTTGCTTATTCTTGCATATGTTTCCTTGTCCATATCGCCGTATCTTTTTTTTTCTTTTGAGTTGAAGCCTCACTCTTTTGTCCCTGCTGGAGTGCAGTGGCTTGTTCATGGCCCCTGCAGCCTCAACTTCCTGTGTTCAGGCAATCCTTATGCCTTCCAAGTAGATGGGGCTACAGGTATGCGCCACCACGCCTGGCTAATTTTTGAATTTATTATAGAGACAAGGTCTTGCCATATTGCCCTGACTGGTCTCGAACACCTGGACTCAGGCAATCCTCTCTCCTCTGCCTCCCAAAGTGCTGGGGTTACATGCATGAGCCACTATACTTGCTTAAGAGCTTATTAAGTACAAGGATTCTTTTTTTGTGTGCCATGAATACTGTTGGCAGTCTGAAACCTATGGATTTCTTCTCAAAATAATATATTTTTTTAATGCATAAAACCGAATACATAGGATTCCAAAGCCAGCCAATTACATTGAGGCATGGTTATCAAGATGTTAAAAACAAAGCCAGGCGCAGTGGCTCATGCCTATAATTTCAGCAATTTGGGAGGCTGAGGTGAGACGATTGCCTGAGCCCACAGATTCAAGATCAGCTTGGGCAACTTGGTGAGACCTCATCTCTACAATGAATAAAAAAATTAGCCAGGTATGGAAAAGTGTGCCTGTAGACCCACCTTCTCAGGAGGCTGAGGTGGAAGGATAGCCTGAGCCCAGGACGTCGAGCCTGCAGTGAGTTGTGATCATGTATTCCAGCCTGGGTGACAGTGAGACCCTGACTCCCCCCCCAAAAAAAAAGAAAAGAAAAGAGTGGTAATTAATATTTGATGCATACGAAGAAAATGCTTAACTTATATATAGCTCATGAAGTGTAACAATGAACATGAGCAGGCTGGGTGCAGTGGCTCAAGCCTGAATCCTAACACTTTGGGAGGCTGAGGCAAGAGGGTTGCCTGAGTACAGGGGTTCGAGACCAGCTTGAGCAACTTGGTGAGACCTCGTCTCTACAATAAATCCAAAAATTAGCCAGTTGTGGTGGCATGCGCCTATACTTCCAGCTCCTTGGAAGGCTGAAGTGGAAGGATCGCCTGAGCCCAGTAGGTCGAGGCTGCAGTGTCCATGAGTGTGCCACTGCACTCCAACCAGGGTGACAGAGTGAGACTCTGACTTAAAAAAAAAAAAATGCTAAAAACAAATTTATGATGTAGAACATATACAGAGACACAACACATTCCCATTTCTGAATTCAGCTTTTTATTATTTTAGGTGTATTGTACATGTATGCATATTATAAATTGTACTATATTTTCCCCATCCTCTTAATTTGTTTATCTGTTTATTTGTATCTCTGATAAACAACATATAGATGAATACTTTTAAAAAAACAATCTGACAAAGGGTTGTTTACCTCTTTGAATATACTAAAGGCCTCTGGTATGTGAACTATGTCTCAATAAAGCTATTAAAAATAAAATCTAATGGCCGGGCTCAGTGGCTCAGCCTATAATCCCAGCAATTTGGGAGGCTGAGGCGAGTGAATTGCCTGAGCCTGTGGGTTTGAGACCAGCCTGGGCAACTTGGAGAGACCTCGTCTCTACAGTTAAAAAAAAAAAATTTAACCAGGCATGATAGCGTGCGCCTGTAGTTCCGGCTACTGGAAGGCTGAGGTGGAAGGATAGCCTGAGCCCAGCAGGTCGATGCTGGGGTGGCCATGAGCGTGCCACTGCACTCCAGCCTAGGCGACAGAATGAGAGTGAGACTCTGACTCAAAAAAAAAAACCCAGTCTCCTAGTTTCTTTTAGCTGTCATGTTAGGTCCCAGTTTTCTGATTTTATTTGGATGAGTATCTGTCACCTTACCAGCTATTTTTTGTTTATTCCATCTGTTTTTATTTATTTATTCTTTTTTTCCTACTTTCTTTTGGATTTATTGGACATTCATTATGTTTCCATTGATTGACATATTTATACTCCTTTCAGGAAATTTTTTACTGGTTGCTCTAGGTTTCACAATATACATCTTTAATAAGAGTTTACCTTCAATAATATAATTATAAATGAGAAATAAATAAATAATTATATACTATGTATGTAGTATAAAGGTTTTTGTTGTTGTTGTTGTTTTGTTTTGAGTCAGAGTCTCACTGTCACCCAGACTGGAGTTCAGTGGCATGCTCATGGCCACTGCAGCTTCAATCTGCTGGGCTCCAGCGATCCTTCCGCCTCAGCCTTCCAAGTAGCTGGAAGTACAGGCGCATGCTACCATGCCCAGCTAATTTTTTAATTTATTGTAGAGATGAAGTCTTCCCATGTCGTTCAGGCTGGTCTCGAACCCCTGGCTCAGGCAATCCTCTCGCCTTGGCCTCCCAAAGTGCTGGGATTACAGACGTGAGCCACTGTGCCTAGCTAATACAACAGTCTTAAAACAATATATTCTCAGTTCTTTCCCCCTTCTTTGTGCTATTATTGTCATACATTTTACTTTTACATGTGGTAGATGTAAAATAATACGAGGGGGGACCCCCAAAAACCAATTTGTTATAAGAAATTTTGTATTGGTTCTCACATGTTTAACTTCAGTCACTTTCAAAGTACTCTCCATTTGATGCAATGCTCCTGTCATGACACTTTTTCCACTGCTTGACACCATTTTTGATCTTGTCAATTTTGATGCCTTTTAGTGCTTCTGCTGTTTTTGTTTTACCTCTTCCACATGGGCAAAACTCTTTCCTTTGAGGACTTTTTTCATCCAGAAAACAAAAACAGTCGCTTGGGGGAGGGGGAGGTATGGGGTC